GAACCAAAAATACAGTGATTTCCAGAATTTTTCCTTATTTTTTACAATATCATCCAAATTAATTTTCATATTACTTGCACTTTTAGTTATTCATAACATTTGAAGAAGAAAAAGACGGGATGGAAGTGATCAAGTGAATGGGTGTTCGGACGGTTTTACCCTTCTATTTGGAAAATAAAAATCATTTTTTATAGATTTAACGGTACATTCTAACGGGAATTAGACGGAAGGACGTTTTGCGCAAGAAAATGGAAAGGTGGGGACGTTCATCACCAAAAAATCATACGTAGAAACGTTTTTCACACACCCGTAGCGACGTGTTGCGCCAATTACCCTCTATATAAAACCTAGGCGGTGATACCTAAGCCTTCACAGCTTCACTTCAGCCTTCCAAGTTCCATTCCCCATTCCACCCGTTCACTGACCTCCAGCCGCAGCCAAATACACACACAGAGAGAAAACCGTGAGGCCGTGTCGCCTGCTGCCTGCACTCCGTCTCCAACCGGCAAGGCGGCAACTCCACTCAACGGTCTCAACCTCTGTAAGTACTTTGTTTACAGTTTACACTTTACATTGAGTATTGCAATTTTTCTTTCTCTCTCTTAATTTATGAAACCATTCGCACGGGCATAAATTCCACGTGAATTTCTATTCTGAGTTTGTAGTCTAGCATTGATTTTCTGATCTATTGATTCTATTTTTACAATTTTACTTCTGGGTTTTCGTTTTCCAAACGCGAAACGTCAGTAAGCTATTGTGGGTTTTGACTGTTGAGAAATGGGGAAATGTGAACTGTGAAGAATGGCATCAAAATGTAAACATGTGGTTGTTGTTAGGAGCACATCAAAATGGGGTTTAGCTGTTACTTGTCTAAATTTCAATTACTAGAAATTTCAATGCATTTGGGTGTTGTTAGGAGCACATATGGAATGCCAAATTGGATAGTGAAGAACCAGCTATATGAATCAGAATCAGTGTAAATTAACTAATATTTGTTATTTTTGACTTTGCTTTTTTTACCTGTCAATAACTGTTAGCTGTTGAATGTAAGTTAACAAATTTCGCCGTAAGGCTCTAATTAGTTTGTTGTCTTCTTTATTGGAATATTGAATTACCCTTTAGCAGCAATTCATGTGTAGTTTGGTAAGCTTGGAGTTATGATGTTTTGTTCTATGTTCTAGCTTTGAGTAACAACATGTCAGTTGAGATTTTGACCAATTAGAAAGCAATTCAACTAGCTAATTATTGTAGAATTAGTGATCATAGCGAAGCCCAAAATATATAGATAAACATGAAAACATGCACCCATGACTAGAAAAAGTACTAACAAAGCAAAAGTAGACATACCGTAGTCATTGCCATGGTTTTCGATAAAAAGGGAACATGGTCGCAATCTGTTATGGGTACTCGATCCAACTTAGTATTATTTGAACATCGTGACCCACATTTTGATGGATGTGATAGCAGTAATTTATATGTTCTTGCTCACACTTAGTATTATTTGAACTTCATGACACACATTTTGATAAATGGGGTCCAGTGGGTCATGCCGAAAACAGTTTTGATCTTCTCTCATGTTGGAAGGGGTCTAGTGGTAGTAACAGGACTTCCATGGTGTGGAGGGTTGTTCCCCACTGTGTTTTTTGGTGTGTTTGGAGGAAAAGAAATGCTAGACATTTTGAGGATACTGAGACCTCCACTTCGGAGCTGAAGAGCAGTTTCTTTCAATTATTGTTTG